GATAGATATAATTTTGGTTTTGATCAGATAGGCTATGTCATTTATAGTCACTACCACTTATATTCATAGATTGTGTCACTTTTCTGTGCACTTCTGAGAGACTCAACTCATTCACTTTAATATATTCTGGGTCTAGTAGTTCCAACAGCAGTTCCACTGTCCTTGAGTCCTAATTTTTTTCATGACTAGAAATGGCAGCAAGGATAAGAAAGTCTTGTACATGTTATATATAGTGCTATTTCTGTTCCAGAGAAAAACCTGGGTTTGGGCAGGCACTCATTGATCTTCCACACTTAGTATTAATCTTGATTGTCCCCTTGATCTTATCCCCAGTAATTGCAATAGGTTTAAGGTATCCATAATTACATGAAAATAATATCCCAAGTATGTAAAAAAATTATTAAGCTTCATCACCAAATATTTGAGATGTAGTCCAGTGAGGAATCCTTGGTGCTCTCTGAGTTTTTTTCTTGAAGACTTTTCATTACTCAAACTGGATAATATCATTAGTGCTAGTACCATCTGCAACGAAACAACCACGCTCATAGAGCACCCCTAATTTCGACCCTGAATTCAAAATATTTTTTATTGGTATATAGTCCAGTCGCCAGTAATAGGTGGAATCAGAGCAGTTAACCATTTCATCCAATCTCTGTAGTCTTCTTAAACAGCCAAACTCAACAGAAAGATTATGTGTAAATGAAGAAAGATAATATTGCTGAGAAATCAGCCAAACACTTTGCTTATCAAATCAGGCAGTTAATTTCAAATGGCATAGTTAGTTTTCAACTGATTTATGGTTAGATGGTTAGTCTTAGCACAGCATTGAACTGCAAGTTGCTCTGCCTAACATTGCTCCTAAATAGCCACAACTTTCCCTCTCTTCACTAAGGACTATCGAATTCAGTCCTCGTTGCACTTCCAGTTCTTTCTTGCTTACTATTCCTACCCCATTCATAGTCATAGGCCATATTGCAAGGGTCACTTTTTGAACTAATTTTGGCAGTTAGCATCAGTAGTACTGCTCTGGTTAAGAATATATTTATTTCCCCCCCCCTTTTTTTTTTTTTGGTTTGAAGTAACTTTTGAAATGCTGCCGAGCTAGGTTGCACTTATACTTGGCATCAGGGGCATTTGCTATTTGGATTCTCTCTACAGTGTTGGAGCATTTTATTCTACAGGTCAAAATACTTAAGTCAAAATACTTGACTGTAGTCAGACTAATTATAATCTGTATTAGCAGCAGTATTGCATTCAAATCACAGGAGGTAACAGTTCCATTGTCTGCTTTGGTTAGACCACAGCTGAAGTACCATGTCCACTTCTGGGCATTGCACTTTAAAAAGGGCACAAACGAATCAGGAATTGGTTCAGGAAAGAGCTGCCAAAAAAGAAAGAGTTGAAATGGAAACCCATGGTCTGTGAAAAGTGAAGAAAGAAATTAGACATACATAGTTCGCAAACCAGAAAACCAGCTAGCCCTATATCTAGAAGGCTGTTAATGGGATGGACATTTTTTTGTTGGAAACCCAAAACAAGACAAAGACAGTAAAAGTTAAAAGAAAGATGCAAGGTGAATGCTAAGAAACTTTCCTGATGGTGAGGAATGTTAACCCATGAAACAATAAGCCTTAAAACCAGGGATGGACAAATGTTTTCAAACAGGAGCTGGATTACCCACACCCACCCTCCATTCTCATCACAAAGGCTAATATTTAATCTGAAGGAACTAATTTTGAAAACCTCAGGTTGTTATAAGGAAATAATACAAATAGAAAAGCCTCTAAGCCACACATGTAGTTTTGTTTATTGAAGAGCAACGATAAGCAGAACGTTCTCTCCTCTGTCTCTCCCTCATACCAGCCAGAAAAGATATGCGGTAGAAGAAATAATCTTTCTACCTAGATAATAACAACTAATCTATTGTGTGAGTTTTAAACAGAGGCCTCCCCCAAACAAAATACCAGGGAGTTCACTAGTTAAAGAAACAAAAGCAACACAGGCAATAGGAGGGTGGAAAAAAAAAAAACCTCCTGTGAAACACATTAGCGTGTGTTCCAGGCAGGGTTTTTTTTTTTTTTTTTTGGTGTTTTGGTTGGAAATTGTTTGCAGAAGGAAGAGATGGCTGCCTTTACACGTTATTTATTAGATTTTAGGAAGGGGGAGGGAGTTGAGTTTGCCGTACAACTAAGGTAATCTGCCTACTAATAATTTAATTATGACTGGAGGTGAATAATGATAATCCAAGGTAAATTATTTCTCCTTTAAAACAGCCATAGGATACCAGGGCAGGAACAAATCTGGCTTTCGGGTTCGTGATCTCTTTATTCCTCCCCCACCCCGAGGTGGCTGACCAATCCCAGGAAGGAAGGAGGGGACGAGGGCTGGTCCCTGAATTTGAATCTGATTGGGCGACAATAAATTTTGGGAAGGGGGTTAGGCATCTCTTTGATGGAGATGCAAGCGGCCGGGCGGGAGGAGGGAAGGAGAGAAGGGGCCGGCCTGGAATTGATTAAGTTGGGAGGAGAAAGAGGAGAAGGCTGGGCGAAGCTTAACTCAGCCCGGGGGCCCTCCTTTGAAACAGACTAATTGGGGAGGGAAGACACAAAGGGAAGCGAAAGGCGCTTGGAGAGACGCGCGGCAAGGAAGAGTTCCCGCTGGGTGAGTGGAGTTTTGCCTCCTTCAGCTCTCCGAGCCTGATCCCAAAAAGTTTTGCCAGGACTAGGGTCCCCGAAGCAAGTGACAGATCCCAGCTCGTCCTGGGGAGGAGACAAAAGCGCTCGGGTATCCGTAAGAGCTGACGGGGAGCAAACCACCATGCGCCTTGCCGACGCGTCCTTGGCCCGTTGCCTGCTGCTGCCGTTGCTCTTGGGATCCTGCTGGGCCCAGTTCCACGGAGAGAAGGGCATTTCTATCCCCGATCATGGCTTCTGCCAGCCTATCTCCATTCCGTTGTGCACTGACATTGCATACAACCAGACGATCATGCCCAATTTGCTGGGACATACCAGCCAAGAGGATGCTGGCTTAGAGGTCCACCAGTTTTACCCTCTGGTGAAGGTCCAGTGCTCCCCGGAACTCAAATTCTTCCTCTGCTCTATGTATGCTCCTGTGTGCACTGTCTTGGAGCAAGCCATTCCACCTTGCCGGTCCATTTGTGAGAGGGCACGCCAAGGCTGTGAAGCCCTCATGAACAAATTTGGCTTCCAATGGCCAGAACGACTGCGCTGTGAGAACTTTCCCCGCCATGGGGCAGAGCAGATCTGTGTAGGGCAGAATCATTCAGAGGAAGGTGGCTCTCCAGCATTGATTACAAGTGCCACTCCAATTGCTGGACAGGGTACTGCTGGGCCACCACGTTATGCCACTCTGGACCATCCTTTCCACTGCCCACGAGTCCTTAAAGTGCCCAGCTACCTCAACTACAAGTTTCTTGGAGAGAAAGATTGTGCAGCACCATGTGAACCAACCAAGAATGATGGACACATGTTCTTCAATCAAGAGGAGATTCACTTTGCACGCATCTGGATTCTCATCTGGTCTGTTCTATGTTGTGCCTCTACTTTCTTCACTGTCACTACCTATCTGGTGGACATGCAGCGCTTTCGCTACCCAGAACGACCCATCATCTTCCTCTCTGGCTGTTACACCATGGTATCTGTAGCCTATATTGCAGGATTTGTATTGGAGGAACGGGTGGTGTGCAACGAACGTTTCCAAGATGATGGCTATCGGACAGTGGTACAGGGTACCAAAAAGGAAGGCTGCACCATACTTTTCATGATGCTGTACTTCTTCAGCATGGCCAGCTCTATCTGGTGGGTCATCTTGTCCCTCACTTGGTTTCTTGCAGCTGGCATGAAGTGGGGACATGAAGCCATTGAAGCCAACTCACAATACTTTCACTTGGCAGCCTGGGCTGTGCCTGCTGTCAAAACGATCACCATCTTGGCCATGGGGCAAATTGATGGTGATCTCCTCAGTGGTGTCTGTTTTGTGGGGCTTAACAACATAGACCCACTTCGGGGCTTTGTTTTAGCTCCCCTCTTTGTCTACCTCTTCATAGGCACCTCATTTCTTTTGGCAGGCTTTGTGTCACTTTTCCGTATCCGTACCATCATGAAGCATGGAGGCACCAAAACAGAGAAGCTGGAGCGTCTCATGGTGCGCATTGGGGTCTTCAGTGTCCTCTATACAGTACCAGCCACTATTGTTATTGCTTGTTACTTTTATGAACAGGCCTTCCGTGAGCATTGGGAGCGGAGCTGGATTAGCCAAAACTGTAAGAGTTTGGCCATTCCCTGTCCACTTCAATACACCCCACGCATGACCCCTGACTTCACTGTCTACATGATCAAGTATCTCATGACGCTGATTGTGGGCATCACTTCAGGTTTCTGGATCTGGTCTGGGAAAACCCTTCATTCCTGGAGGAAGTTTTATACCAGGCTAACTAACAGCAAACACGGGGAGACTACTGTTTGAGAAGAGAAATGGAGGAAGCAGATTTCCAACTCCAGAATTTCAAGAAAATATCAGATCTGCCTGCATTTCCCTCCTTGAGCTGATTCTGTTTGTATGTATGGGGAGATGTTCTTTGGAAAACTCCCTGCAATTTGGGGAGTGGGGCTTCTTTACTACATAAAGCTGAAAACTCCTCTGACAATCGGAGAGGAAAAAAGAAAAACAAAGGAGAAAAACCCCAAGTATTTAAAACTGTCTCATTTTAATTAAAACAAGTTCTAAACTTCTTTGCTTTAGGTTTTTAATTAACTATTAAAGGGTGTCTTTTTGTAATTAAAATTGTAAATAGCAACTGTAAATTTAATTATATATTTCTATTTAAAAACAAAAGAACAGCAGCAAGGACTTTATTTTTCAGAAAAAGTATGGAGGGGTCATAGAAAAAAATAAAATTTCATCTCCTTTTCTTTGAACTCTTATTTTTTTCCCCTTTTTTCTTTTCTTTCTTTTCTTTCTGAGCCAGGAGTGTGTGCTGTTTGGGTTGGCCCTTAATAGGCTATTTTTGCCTAAGCTTTTCATGAGAGCCAGGTTTTGTATCACTCTCAGCACCCAACCCACCTTAAACATCTTCCATCAACTCCCTTTTGCAGGCTACGGTTTTTGATATATTTCCAGGAACACTTCTTCCACCTCATTTTTTCCTTTCCAGGTTGAAAGTTTGGCAAGTAATGTTCTGTCTATGAAAATATATTTGGGGTGGGTTTGGGGAAGATGGCTGAGCCTTCTCGCCTTTGCTGAAATTTGGGCCTTGGCTGTGCAGATTTTCTTATGTTTATTTCTTTTAGAGAATTATGACCTCCAAGAAAGTTTTTCTTGCCTTAAGCCACAGAATTCTCTTTCTGTTACATTTGTATGTTTCTATTTTTTCCTAGATGTTTTGTACAAAAGGTAGCTTTTTAAAATGACATTTTCTTTATTAAACAGATTTGTTCTTTGCAAATTCAGTTTGAGTATTTTTCAAACGGCCGGCCGTCTCCAAAACAATTTCTTTGTGAGCTATCCATTTAGCTTCTAAAAAGTAACTAAAAACTGCAATTGATATTTCACAGCGCAATCAATATACATTTGCTTGAAGAGAAGAATCTTTAAAAAGAGCTTTAAAAAACAACTACTATTGGAACCTGCTTGGTGGCATTTTAGAAAGTTTAAGGGGAAATTATTTATTTCAATTGAAAGATACTGTCTTTTGAGAAGCATAGGAACCTTATTTTATCAGTTTTCCCCAATATAGGAGGAAAATTTAACTACATTTCTGTCTTCTACAATTTTCTTCTTTTGAGGATGTATACTTTTCTCAACTTCTACTACAGCTCTTAAAGAAAGATGTTTGGGTAACTTCTTTAAATGTCTCTTACAAGAAAGTAACAATTTATTATTCAATAAAACAACTGTAATAGCAAAAAAAACTATATATTCAATGAAAAAGCATTAAATCTAAATCAATTTTTTCTAAATCAAATGTCTCTGATTTGGAATTGATTTCCGACAACACTAAGGAACAATCTCAGTCTAAGGTTTCCATGGAAATCACTGCAGATAGATTAACTTCTTACCATATTTTATAGAAAAAGCATTAGAAACAAACATGGTAAAATTCTACTTTTTTTGAGTCCTTGCATATGATGACTGCACACGTATGCATTTTGCATCAGTTATGCAAGTTGTGAAAAGATATGGCTGCTGTAATTTTTTTCTTTTTTACTTCCAAAATGTTGAGAATTTTGGCAAGCCTGTATCATTTTATTAAATCTTAACAATTGGATCCTGAGCATTTTTTAATCAGAATTAAGAATTGTTCTCTAAATTGTCATGATAGAAGAAATGTTTTCTGTTTTAAAATTTAATGTTTTCACTTTAAAAATGATTGATCAGTATTCTAAATAATATACAGTTCACGTCTTTAAATTTTTCAGAATATTTGAATAAATTTGAATTGGGGTGGAATTGGAATCAGAATTATTTATAAAGAAACACAAAGTGCCATTTCTGAGTTAAAGTTTCTAAAAGGCTTTACTGAAGCGCACCAATCCTACCTAGAAATTAGCTAGCAAATTCCATCCATTTCTCTAGCATGATAACCACTCTTTGCAATGAGTCTAAAGATGGAACAGGATGCTAAAGGATACATGGAAGAAGTTAAGAGAAAAAAGGTAAAGCATTGCACAAATCTTTTTTAAAAACTCCCATTAAATTTCAAATCCCCCACCCCCCCCCCACTCCTGTGGCAGACTGATGGCCTCTCCTCTCTTCTGCCCTTGGTAAATTGTCATTCTTAAGACTGCTTTTGTATTGCTAATGCTGTTAGTTGCTTTTTTGTGTCATTTGGTGTAAAGTTTTAAAACTTTGAAAAGAAATAAATAATTTCCTACTCCTTTTCCATCAAAAGGACCATAAAGGAAACAATTCGGTTGGTTGAGGAAATAATAATGCAAAATGGGATTTATAATACTAGGGGTAAGTGGAGGGAGGGAGGAAGTAAGAAAGGCTCCCGATTTTGAATCCTGCATTTTAAAATGAGATGGAAATGGAAACCTCTAATTTTTCTTAACTGCTGCTTGTATGCATGCGCGCGTACACTCACTCACTCACACACACACTCTCTCTCTCTCTCTCTCTTTCTTCATCAGAGAAAAGTGTGGTTTAAAGCTCCAAATCAAAGGGTGACTAAAGTGAACCAGATGGACTCTGGAATGCTGTAAACATGTGTCCACCTATGACAAAATAAAAATAAAAAAAAGAACACATTCTATCTGGTTTTATTTCAAAAAAAAAAAAAAGCTTATAATGTAACAACAACACTGCATATGGTTTGTACTTGAGTATTGCCTACTATGCTATGAAGCATGTCAATATCTCTATTTCCAGTTACAGTGTTTTGCCTTCTGCCATAATACCGGGTTTTCCCCAAAGCATCTGGTTGCAAGAGGCTGTAAATTAGAGGTGTTTTCCACAGATTCCAGTAGAGCTCCTGAATTCAAGAACAACATTTTGTCCAAAGCTTTCAACTACAAATGTCTCTCCCCACCACACACTTCCCCCCCCCGTCCTATTGTTATTAGACTGGGGCATTTTTCTCTCCCCATTAATTTATCAAGATCCAGTTTTGTTTTGTTTTTTTCCTAGCTTATATTAAAATTCATATTAAAACCCAATTTAGATGGTATCAGTTGCTGCGCGAAAGGATCAAGCTCTAAGTTCTGTTATCATCCTTTTTTCCCCATTTTTAAAAATACCCGATTATATCTACATGGTTCTTTCCCCTCTCAGCATTTCCTATAAACCTGTCTTTATGAACCCTGCAAATACATCAACAGATGGATCTCATTAGTCCCCGTTTTGGCAAAGGCCTTTCAGCTGCTTGCCCCACACAAGCAGGGACTACACCCAAACTTTCAGTAAACCCCCTCCCCCTTTCTGTGTCCTCTGGACAGAAGATTGCAACGTGGACCAGAGGAGAGCTGAGAGTGGGCTCCCTCTGCCAAGGAATGTTGGGGCCGTGGGTTTATCTCCCCCCCTTTTTGTTCTTAATTTAATCCTTCTGGTTTTAGAAGCCTATGGAAAAGAAAGACCATCTCATGTCAGAATGGCTTATGTCAGGCAATTGCTTTTCCACATATGTGTGTGTATTTTAACAAATATCTAAAGTTCATTTCTTTCTCCTGCCCCTTCCCTCCAACTCCTTCATGTTTACCCTCTTTCCAGGTCAATTCGACTTATTCAACCCCATCCTCTTTTGGCTCCCGTGCCCCCTTTTCTGTTTGCAGTGCTAATTAAGAAGGGTGGGGGAGGGAAATACACTTTTGTTACCTTTTCAGAGCTAGCATTTTGTTTTTTTTAAATCAATTTAACTTTTTTAAAAAATGAATCCATCTCTGACTCATATCCTCCCCTCCTCCCCAAAGTATGTTGCATAGGACATTTTTGCATTCCCACTTAAAGTTGACACACAGGCTTTGAAATGGAGATTTCTCCCCCAGTGAAGCAGAGGCCTGCTTAACACATTAAGAATCCCAGCTGCCAGGGAATGAGAGCAAAGAGGTTTGATCTGTGCAGGGTGGATTCCTCTCCTCTTCCCGCCCCCATTGAAAAGACAAGAGTGTGGGGGTTTGTTCCCTGCAATAAACTGTTACAGACCTAAAGCTATTTAGAGGGGGGGGGGATGGAATATGAAATTCCTTTGCGGCAGACGGGAAGGCTGTCCAGTCGTGCAGACAAAAAAGCCTTCTTTAAATGACTCACAGTTGCAAAGACTCAACCAGTGCTGTTTAATGAAATAGCATAAAGGAGGGGTTGGCGAACAACTGGATTCCTAACCAGGCTTCAGTTCCAACTCCTATCGCAAGACAGGCTACTCTGAGCAGAGCAGCTGCCATGCCTGAATTTTACCTCCTCAATAAAGCCTCAGTTCTGCAAGGCTCTGGCTTCATGAGGCTTCAATATGCCTTGAAGGGGCACCGCAATATTTTTCTGTAAATTCAGATAGGGACCCAAGAGTGGTTAGTAAGAATTTTCATTTTCAAAGTCTGGGTAAGCAGAAAGTCCATCTCATCAAGCCCGCTTGGCTAACTCCTATCCAACAAGGCTGATCAGAATTTTGTGAGGAGATGAATGAAGCAAAGCTGTGACTAGTTTTCCCTGGAATATAGGAATCCATAATACAGGATAAAGGCAGGCGTAATGTCAACTCAAAATTGTTCACCCAACTGCTCTGTCTGGCCTTGATGGAAATGACAGGTGTGCATACCAGCATTTGAGCTCTGGCTGAACGTCCGTTCAGTCCTCTCCTTCTATGCTTCAGGTGGATCTGCCACCTTGTTAAGAACTTTTTAAAAGCTTCACGTGAATATTGCAGGTGCTAAAGAAATGTATTTTAAAATGCAAAACAAAGGGTTCCCGTGTTTTGATAAGTGAGGCAGAACTGCAGTAATACTGGGAAAGTTCCAGCATTATACTTGCAGCTGCCTTCTGACTCAAACCAGCAAAACTATTTTTTCTTCTCAGGGTATAGCCCTGGTGATGAATTAATGGCTATGACCAAATGCTTCCAAAGTAGCCTCACTACTGTACAAACATTACATCTTTCACCACTGACAGAGAAAATAACCTTTCATTTACTGCTGAGTAGTGTCGTAGCATATGTGGGATTAGGAAGAATGTCTCAAGGCGTTATTACCGTAGGAGAATATGTACCTCCCCCTTATAATAGATGGCCTCTTCATGGCCCATGCTCTCCATCTGCATTAGACTGCAGGTCCCATGATCCCTAGTCGGTACAACATTTAGATCCTAAAAAGCTCTACTAAACCCAAACAAAAAGACACCCCTACATTTGGTGTGTCTGATTATCAAGAATCCACTTAGTGACTCATATTGTGGCACTAAATGGATCCTTGGTTTGGTCTAATAGGACTGCTTAGATGCTTCCATATTTCTAGACTTTCAGATGTATTCATTTGCTTGAACTGTTTATTAAAAATGAAATATTTTTTAACAAATATAGTTTAAGCAATTCCACCTCCTCATTACCGCTAGATAACACATGTGATTCTTTTCGAACTCCAGACATTGAAGGATCCTAATGGTTCATTAGAATAGTTATTATGTTACTGTGGTAGGGAAAACTCTGTGCTACCTCACAGGACGTTCTCGGATCTCACAATAGCATAAAGTCACCTCTACTTGAAGTCGGGTTCTTAGATAATTCATCTTCACCTCCGCCTCAACAGAAGAATGAATTTGAACTAAATTTACAGCCACTTCATCAAATCAACCAGTCAGAGCAGCAAAGAAATAAAGGTAGCATATCATTCTTCGGTCCTTATAATATGCATGGAAGATGGAATATGCAAATAGGCAAAATCACTTTGCAAAAAAAGAAAAGAAAAAACTTCTGCCAAAGTTATCACTACTATAATATTTATAATCCATTCCAGTCCAATGGAGTTGGGTGGCTGATCAATCTAAATAAATAAAAAAATTCCACTCCAAGAAGAATCCTGGCTTCATTTCTATCACTAGAGTTAAAACAAGAAAAACATCTGAAGCAGGCACAAGATAGATGTCAACCAGGATCATGTTTCTTAGATACTATATATTCCAAAAAGTGTGTTTGTTGCAAAAACAACACTCTGCATCACTAAAATACTTCCTAGGGAAGGAGGAGATTGAGGTCCACCTGAAGGGGCGTGCTAAGGAATTTGCGGATTTTCTGGAAGACAAAATCGCTCGACTTCGTTCCCAGTTAGGTGCCGGCGTGGTTGCTGGTCTGGTGGAAGCTCCTGAGGCAGGTTCTTGCCCTGTTATCTGGGAACGGTCTGACCCTGTTGCTTCTGAGGAAGTGGACAGGATCCTAGGGAGTATGCAGGCAAGCACCTGTGTTTTAGACCCATGTCCCTCCTGGCTTGTGAAAGCTTCCCAGGAGATGATAGGTAGGTGGGCTCTGGTGGTAATTAATGCTTCTCTACAGGAGGGGACGGTGCCCCAGCACTTTAAGGAGGCTGTGGTCTGCCCTCTTCTTAAGAAGCCATCACTGGACTCCACCTAGATAATTTCCAACCTGTCTCCAACCTTCCCTTTTGGGGGAAGGTTGTTGAGAAGGTGGTCACACAGCAGTTCCAGAGGTTTCTGGATGAAACCGATTATCTCAATCTCTACCAGTCAGGACTCAGCCCTGGATTTGGGACAGAAACAGCATTGGTTGCACTTTTGGATGATCTCTGGTGGGAGTGGGATGGGGGTAGTGCATCCATCCTTGCTCTACTTGACCTCTCACGGCTTTTGATACTATTGACCATGGGATTCTCCTGGGGTGGCTTCGGGGGGTGGGAGTGGGAGGCCTTGTGCTGT